TGTAATACATTAAACAATAAATAACTAAAAACAAGAAGCTGTGATTCAGAGTTAAGAAATAGAGTTAGACGAGAAACAGAGTTTAATCTACAGGGGGAAAAAAATCAAGTGGTGTATGACACAGATCCATTTCTTTAATTTATATTCAAAAGGTGGAAGTTTTTTAAATTTCTTACTAGTGTGTTTTCTCCATTGGAACTATTCCAGAGCCTCATTCGATTATCAGTACCAACAGTCAGCAGGTGAAGCCCATCACTTGTAAAACATAAGCCATTAACTTTCCCATTATGAGCAGTGTTGGCTGCAATGAAAAATATAATTCAGTTTATCTGTTCTTGTATTCAGCACATATTTAACGCCTGATGACCTACTTATTTAAACACATTAAAGGACAACTATCTGAATTACTTAAAATACATCAGTTGATTATATTTAACATTCATCATCCTTCTGATTATTTGAATATGATAAGCTATATAAATTAGAACCATAAAAATAGAGGAAAACTAAAAAGTCAAATGGAAAAAAATCTTGCCAAATATATTTGTCTTCAAAGAGTAAGCTGTGTGCCCAGCTGCCGTGGTTCAATGGTTGAGTATCGACCTATGAACCAGGAGGTCACGGCTTGATTCTTGGTCCAGGCACATGCCCGGGTTACAGGCTCAATCCCTAGTAGGGGCCGTGAAGGAGGCAGCTGATCAATGATTCTCTCTCATCACTGATGTTTCTATCTCTCTCTCCCCTTCTCTGCCTCTCTGAAATTAATTTAAAAAAATACATATAAAAGGTATTTAAGCTGTCCTATAAAACTCAAATACACAGTTTAACACAAAAAATTTAAATTAAACACCTCTCAAAATTCTTATATACTATTTCCATTTTTAATCTAAAAATCATCCCAAGGACTATTAAAAATCATTAATACTAGTATTTCCTTTTTTAAAAACTTTAACAGAAGATAACTGTTCTAGTCTCACAATCAAAATTTATATTACTTTCAAAATAAACAACTTTGAGAAAGCATAATTCTCAATAGCCTGATTAATTTAAGTAAACAGATTATTAAAAACAAAGATTTTATATATTTCATCCTAATTATTTCTGGTCCAGAATTAATTCTGAATCAGAATTTTAACCTACACAAAAATGAAATTCTATTGTAAAAATGCAATTGAGGTACTTTATCACCTGGATTGCAGCTGACACATTTAACACAACTTGCAAATTTTGTTTTGACATAATGGCCATTAACTATTACTACTACTTGAATTTATTAGAACTTCCTAAGTGGCACTGAGTTTGTATTAGTGTAATTGGAAAGGAAAAAAAAAGTAACAAATTAATCCAGAAAAGTTTCTACACTTGAAAATTCAGGGACGGATGAAATGCCATACTAACTTGTATTTTGAAGAAAGACAGCAATAATTTATTTTAATTAAGAAATTGATTTAATATGAATGCCTTTTTTAAAAAAAATCACAAAATTTTCCATTTGTCAATATACATTTAGTATTGGTTATATTCAAAATTTTCAATATAAGAATGCTATCATTGTTATATTTCATATTAGTGCATTCTTCATTACCTGATTCAACAGCTTGTGACTTTTCCCCATTATGCTGATCAAGAGTAATCAAACATCCTGATGCTTTCCTCACATCCCATAATTTTACTCTACTGTCAGCACTGAGAAGAGATAAATGTTACAGTGACATACATAACTAGAATAGTGACTGTACTCTTCACCTACCTTTCCAGAATTATGGCACATAGAGATATTAGCATATTTGTACATTTGGGTTATTTTACTTTTGCCTTATCAGCAAACATTCAATAGTCAACAGGAGCACAAAGAAGTAAAAAATAAGAGAAAAAAGATAAACCTTTTTAGATCACAAGGACAGAATTCTGCTGCTTTTCATTTTATTTTATTTTTTTAATTTTCTTTATTTCTTCTTTTCTAATGACAAAAACATCTTTCTTCTCAAGGACTAGATAAGGCTTAGAGCTTGTTGCTTAAGCAAGTTTGTCACTACAATCTTACTATTGTTTATTATTCAAATGTTGTCTAGATAATCAAGCAGTTAACTAATTTCACTTTGCTTAAGAATTCATTTGGCATGAATTTGGTGGGCTTTTAATTAAATTAATTAATTAATTTTAAATATATTTTTATTGATTTCAGAGAGGAAGGGAGAGGGAAAGAGATAGAAACATCAATGATGAGAGAGAATCATTGATCAGCTGCCTCTTGAACGCCCCCTACAGGGGATCATGCTCGCAGTCCAGGCATGTGCCCTTGACCAGAATTGAAACTGGGACCCTTCAGTCTGTAGGCCGGCGCTCTATCCACTGAGCCAAACCAGCTAAGGCTGGGCTTTTAATTTTATATGATAAAAATAAGAATAAAGTGAATAATAAGAGCAAAATATTTTTATTTGGTTTCCTGTATCAAATTAATCTTTGCCCAATATACAAGAACTAAATTTAATGTCTTCTAGAAATTAGATATTTATTTTCATTTTATTTCAAGAAAGAGAAAAGAAAGGCAAAACCATGGTTTATTAATTTCAGCTTCTAAACTACTCCTAAAGAAAATATTTACCCCAGCCCATTTGCTCAGTGGTTAGAGCATCTGCCTGTAGGCAGAAGGGTCTCAGGTTCAATTCCTCTATGAAAACATTTTTCAGGATGTTGTGTAATTGCTGATTTTTCTGACTACCCCTCATTAGACTGTTAGCTTCTTGAAGGGAATATACCTTAGTTAACTCTGTGTCCCTAGCACAATGCTTGGCACATGGTAGACAGTCTTTAAATATTAGTAAATTGAATAAATGAATGGATGGATGTGTTGAATCAGATTCAAAATAACTATGGATTAAAAAAAATGAATAAAAATGCTATTTTTAAATTAACAGTGCTAATACTTTTATATGCAAAAATGACACAACAGTTGTTTTCCTATTTTTCCAGCAGTACTAGATTTGCACTGCTACACTGATTCTCTTGTGTTCTCTTATTTTAAAGGTGAACACCTTCAAAACGGATAGACAGGATAGCTTTTATGCAAAGGAAGATTTCTTTCGGTGATACGAATTAATATCTGTAACTCTATGATTTTACTTTTAAGGACCTAATAACTAAACAAACACACATCTTAAATAGATAGTCTGCTAGAAATGCTTATTAATTATTACCTTCAAAACCAAATAATCTGCAATTTACCTTGCAGTTGCCAAGATATAATCATAACGTGGCGACCAGGAAACTGCCAAAATTTCTTGTCTGTGACCTGCAAATACAAACTGTATGAAAAGTCTTGAAAAGAATTTGAAAATCAAAAGATACAGTGCAATTAATTTTGATTCTGAAGAAAGTGAAGACTAAGTATTAAAGATAAATTGATATAATCATTTTTTCACTTTTATAATAATCGTTTAAGTATAGGGTGTTCCAAAATGTATATATACATACACTTTGAGTAATTATAAAGGCAGCATTTATTAAAATATATTTCATTTTCAAAATTGAGCTATAAGCTGGTACAGTGCATAGACATTTTTGGGGGGACATCCTGTATAAATATGAAGTCTATGGGGCATTTCTTACATATGGTATTTTATTATAAAAGGCCTGATTTTGCTTTGGAAAGAACAGGCAGAGCAAGTGAGTCTTTCTTTTTAAATACAGGTGTTGGCCTAACAACTCAATCTATCATTGGTGACATAGCTCAAGCTCACTTATTTATCTCTATAGTAAGAGCCACTAAACAAACCAAAAATAAACATTCTAAACAATAAAAATGTTTCTAACTTCTCAGATTATAAGACAGAAAAAATTATTTTTAATTCATGATTATAAAAACATTTGTATAAAAGTTTTTTCCAGAAAGCAGAAGTGATAAAGTTATAAGACAGAAAAAATTATTTTTAATTCATGTTTATAAAAAAATATTTGTATAAAAGTTTTTTCCAGAAAGCAGAAGTGATAAGTTCATAGGATAAGTGATTTCCGCATTTTAATGCATTTTTACCTAACTGAACTATTCAAATCAGTTATTTTAATCTACCTCGCTTATATTAAAAAGAAATTTATAATATAAAACAAATGTTATCTATTTCACCAAGTTTTTCTTACATATTTCTTATGTGTTTCTCAGGGATGAATAAAGATATATATTTCTGAATTACACCCCATATTTTCATTGTTTAGAATTAGATGATCTAATGCTGATTTTTAAAAGTAGCAAAAATAATTTCATATACCTTTACCAAAGTATTATTTCAATATCTTTTTCTAACATATTTTTACTGAGGAATAAAAAAATCACCTAAATTTTAAGAACCTTTACTCAGCCAGAACAATATTAGACTATGTTCATGAGAGAAATGTACTCATGTAAGTTTCATAAGTAGTTTATTTTTCCAAAGGTAGAAACAGCACAAGGTTTTGAGTTAGACCTTCCATAATCTTTGAGCTCCCCTATGGCCATTGTTCATATAAATGTCTCTTCAATAGTTCAGTTTTATAAGAATAATGCACAGAAGGATCTTTATTTCCCTGTTGATTTTTAACAACTAGCACAAAATACATCAGTCATGTCACTTACAAAGAATACATTGTTAGTAATGTTTCTTTTTATTGAATGGTTTACTCAGAGTAGTTGTTACAAATAAAAAATACCCTGTAGAATGTGGCAACAGGATCCAGACTTTAAGTCACAAAGTTGTACTTTGGGCGCTCTAGTACCAACTGTAAAACAAAAACAGAAATGGTTTAAGATAATTTTATTATAAATCATCATCAAAAGGAAGTAAGAAACTACCATTATGAATTATGACATTTTCACTACATCCATACAGAAATATGAAAATGTTAAAGACATACTTCAAATAATTTTTAATGTTTATAATTAGAAAACTTATTTTAATGGTAGTTATATTTTAGTACTAAGACAATTTTATTATTGCATTATTATTTGACATTTAACATAGAAATAATTATTTTTGTTCATAGGAAGTTGCAAAGATAGTACAGAGAGGCCCTTGTGTACCCTTCAATCAGGTTCCCCCAGTGGTTATATTTTAGGTAACTAGAGTATAATATCAAATCCAGGAAATCTGTATTGGTACAATGTGGTATATAATTCTATACTATTTTATCACCTCAAATTATTTTAAAAGCTCAGTTTTTCTGTGATAATGAAATATTTCCAATCGCTAGTAATAGATTCCAGAAACTCTGGACACAGATTGAGTGGACCTCAAAGACAATTTGATGCCCATCTCTTCTCTTAGATGAAGTAGCTAACTGATGTCCGGAGATTCATGTAGTGCCAGAGAATAATTAAATCACAGGGAACTGACCTGATAACAGAAAAAAAATTTTTCTTCCACATACATGGAAATTGTTGTTGCAGGTACTTCCATAAAAATGGATGTTTAATTTGAATCACACAATTTTAGAGAAAAGGAAATAATTTCCTTATTTTATTGTGTTGAATTGAAAAAGTTGCCAAATTTTGTTCATGTAAAATCTTTAAAACTTAGTGGTATAAAAGTGATTCTTTGGGAACAGAAAAGTGTCTTCTTAAATAATCTTTGAATCCTACCACTAGCACAGTGCCTGACTTGCACAATATCTGTTAAGCTGAATATAAAGAGTAGCATACACCTTTTTGTTTTGTTTTTTCTTTAAAGAATTGTGATCTCCATCTGAGTTAAAATGTCTATGTCAAAACTAACTAGAAATGAAAACGGAGACAGTTTTCAAAATGTTACAAAAGAGTAAATGTACAAACCTGCTACCAAGCAGTGCTGAGTGGCAACTGGAGACATATGATGACTATAAACTGTTTCTTCAAAATTAAATATATCTGCAGTCTGATAATCAAAAGACATTTTAAAAGTGTATTCTAATTACAGTCACAAAAGCAACAAATTCCTTATTTACTGATTTTCACATTACTAGCAATTTTTAAACTGACTTAGTAATTTATTTGACTTAAATATAGTAATGTTAATACCCTCAAAAACCTGATATTTTTAAATCCTGTTATTTGTAACACTTTTTTCCCTTTTGTGAGAAATAGCTTTTCTCTAACAAATTCCAGAGATTAAGATTAAAGACAGCCTGGCTCATCATCTTTCTCTCTTCCATCCTGGGACTTCAGCATCTACACAGATGACCTAACCAGCACTCTGCTTCTAAGTTCCATGCAACCGTGGCTACCACACCCAAAAACTGCTCCTCCTTTAAAATCATACATTTCAACCCAGCCAGTGTTGCTCAGTGGTTAAGCATTGACCCATGAACCGAGAGGTCGCCAGTTCGATTCCTGGTCAGGGCACATGCCCACGTTTTGGCTAGATCCCCTGCTGCTTAGGGATGTTGAACACCTTTTCATGTGCATATCCCTAAGCAACAGGGAAATGCAAACCAAGACCACAATGAGGTATCACCTCATACCTTTTAGATAAAATAAACTATTATCAAAAACAAGAAGTAACAATGTTGGCAAGGATGTGGAGAAAAGAGAACCCTTGTCCACTCTTGGTGCAGCCATTATGGAAAACAGTATGGAAATTCCTCAAAAAGTTAAAAATAGATCTACCATATGATCTGGCAATTCCACTCCTGGATATTCATCCAAAGAAAACAAAAACACTAATTTGAAAAGATATATGCACCCCATGTGCATTGCATCTTTATTTAATAGACATATAGAAATATTATTCAGCCACAATAAAGAAGGAAATCCTGACATTTGTGACAAGATAGATGGACCTTGAGGGCGTTATGCTAAGTGAAATAAGTCAGAGTAAAACAAATACCAGTTGATTTCTCTTATATGTGGAACCTAAGAAAGCCAAACCAATAGAAACAGAATAAAATAGTGGTTACTAGGGGTTAGGAAGTGGGAAAAATGGGAAGATGTTGATCATAGGGTATAAATTTCCAGTTATAAGACAAGCACGAGAAGGAAAAAGTTGCCTAGGGTAGGGGACTTGAGACAGGGAGTACAACATAGTCAAGATATGATCAGAAGGCAAAAGGAGATCAATTTATGCCGCAGGCCGGTCCATCCTTGTTGCTTGACAGAGTCGCTGCAGGGAAGAAACATCTGCACAGCATATGTCTCAAGGGACCTGGCGTATATGGCATATGTTTGCTCCCCCTCTTAGCGCTATGTTTTTTAACCAGGACCACCTCCCTGAGAAAGGTTGTTTCCCCAGGTGGGGATTTTTCCCTGGAGTTAGGGATTAACAGGACTAAAGAAGGGAATAAATCAGTAAAACCCCTTAACTAAGTACCAGGCGGGTAGTTAATCACCTTAACTACGAACAATCATGCTTAAGTTACATAATCTTTACTTAGGATAATCTTCTTCAGTTACTTCCTTGTAGCTTAACAGAACAGTAGAGTAGTGACCTTGGAATGGAGATAACAAATGCCCTAACTTTTGGAATAGAATGGATAGGATTAAAATCAAATGGTATAAATACAGATGTAACAGGAGAATAAAAAGAGAAGCTGTCTGGAGAACCTGGCAAGAGAACCTGGCTGGAGAACCTGGCTATGCTGATCCTCTGAAAGCTGTCACCATGTCCTTCATTCTTCACCAACTCTGTCCACACCTTTGGGAACCCCTGGACCTGCTGGGGCTGGACCTCAACAAATTTAGTGGCAGCAAATCATTTATGGAAAAAGAGGTAGAAGCTAAGTTTGAGAGAGTAGGGGAGAGGTTATTGAAAACTTAGAATGTCAGGCTGAATTTAAACAATGGGAGACAGTAGTGGGTTTGGGTGAAGACAGGATGACTGTTTTATAATAAGACTAGAGGCCCAGTGCACGAAATTGTGTGCGGTTAGGGTCCCTAGGCCTAGCCTGTGATCAGGGCCATGTTCTGCCGTTCGTGAGCCCCCAGTTCCACCCTGCCACCACCGATCGATTGGAATCTGAGAGCCAGGAGGAGGGACCAAGAGGTTTGCCTTCCACCTGCTCGCCAGTCCCCACCACACCACTCACCCTGGTTCCCCCATTAGCCATCCCCTGATCAATCGGAGCCGGAGGGCTGGGGGAGGGACCAAGCGGTCTGCCTTCCGCCCGCTCGCCAGTCGCCGTTGCCATTGATTGATGGGAGCCTGGCTGCCCTGATTGGGTTGTTGGGGGCAATCTGGCCCGGATCAGGCAGGTTTGCTGGCCGCAGTGGGTGTCATAGCGACCAGTCATTAGGTCGTTATGGTCGTGACAGCGTTACGGTGTCTGGCTTTTTATATATATAGATTAATTCTGAGGTAGAACTTACCATGGAAATGTGGGAAGAAAAATGCAGGGAAACCATTTAGCAGTTTTTAGTAGTAGTCTAGATATATGATAATGGTGAAAGAGAAATATGAGAATTAGAAGAAAGACTGCTAAGATTTGAGGAATAAATGGAAGTGAGGAGTGATCAATTTGTAACACGTTAAATTTGAGCAGAGGTTCTGTAGAGAGGTAGAGAAATATGGGACTAGAGCGCAGGGAAAAGATTAACACTAGAAATATAAATTTGACCAAATATCGTGAAAACTATTATCTATTGTTGACCTACTAAGCTATAATATTAACAACTTTCTTTTCCTTTCCGTTTTTAGGTCAATAGGAGATAAGTCCAATTTCCTTCTTTTTACCAAAGACCATAGTAGTTTCAAATAATAAAGATAATAGCTAATGGCTTTTGAGCACTTACTATATGCTAGGCACTGATCTAGTTTCTTTATAATATTGACCTATTTAATCTTAATGACCATTCTATAAGGAACAATCATTGCCCCCATTTACAGATGAGGAACTGCAACACAGATAGGTTGCCCAATGTTATACATCTAGTCACCAAAGTATGACCTCAAATAACCTAACTTTCCTTAATCATGATAGTGCTTTCACATCTATTACATGACCTCTTAGCAAATAATCACACCAAAAAGATTTAGAATTAAATTCCTCATCATCCTACAGAGCCATTTGGAAAGGTTTTAATATACTTACTTGTAATGTGTTTGTATCCCATACTTTCAGAGTTTTATCAAATGAGCTTGATGTGAACATGCCAGTGTCATGAGGATACCACTGTACAGTCTCCACACTATATTTGTGAACATCAGGATGATATCTACAAAACAGCAACCAAAATTTAGAGATAACTGACTTATGTGAGTTTGAGCTGATACTATATTAACAAATAGTAGTCTCAGGAAGGATGATATGAATGGCCAAATCTAGGTCACATGACTGTCCTAGCTGTCCAGGGAAAGAGAATGTACAGGCATCTTTAGTTTTAGGCTTCCCTAGTGTGATATGGAGCCTGCTTTCTACTAAAGCTCTTAAAATGAGAGGCCTCTTATTTCAGTACTGTAGCCTGGAGGGATCAGCCAGTTACACTGGACCTGTTCATGGTGGGACAGTGATTTTTCCTTACTGAAAGAGATACCTATTCTAGTTTTGGATTTGCTCTTCCCACTATCATTTTATCAGCACTATCATTCTTAGAATTGTTGAATTCCTCACATACTTCCAGGATACCCCACACGATATTATCTCTGATGAAGGAACTTACTCTATGGCAAAAAATGCAACTGCGATGCCCATGGGATTAACCACTCTTATGTAACCCATCACCCATAGAAGCATGGTCAGGTGATGGCGCAGTTATGATATCAGCTACAATACACCTTGTGAGGGTGAAGTGTAGTCCTAAAAGATGCAGTATAAGCTCTGAGCAAGTGCTCAACACAGTATACGTGTCACTTTACTGAATCTTAATTCAAACAAGCTGGCTGTTAAGAAACATAAGGTAATGGAGGGACATTTGAACACCTACTGAATATTTAATATAAAAAAGTATTGTGTGAGATAATGATACTGTGGTTATGATGATAAAGTCTTTACCTTCTAGAGATATAAATAATTATGAATAAAATGATATGATTCTGGATTTGCTTCAAAACAATTCTCAGAGTGTGTGGGTAGAGATGAAACAAGATTAGTTATAATTGATAGTAGTTAAGCTGGGTGATGGGTATGCAGCTCATTATATTACTCTACTTTTGTATATGTTAGAAATTTTCCATAAGATAAAAGTTAACAGAAGACAACTGCAACTGGGTGAAGATAGGACCAGCATGAGTTCCGATTCCTTAAGGTGAAGGTTTGGATCACAATACCAACTTAAGGACCTTGAACATTTGTGTGCTACCTGAAGAATGAGAACATGAAAAAGGAAAGTCTTAAGTGCCAGTTCTGGCCTTGAGATAGTTACAAAAATAAAAGGAATATAGTGCCGATCCATATTTTCTTTCTATGTCATATGTAGATATACTTATAGATACTGCATTAATTTAATTTCCCTTCTTTCCTCTCTCTTAACTCCATTAATTTATATAGGTGAACTATACAATTGAGCCCAGAGGTTGCATATTATTGATACAAGATCATGTAAAACTAGTGGGAAAATGGACATTATCTTGAACTGGAGTTGAACGTGGTAACTAACTAGACTTAGGGTCATCACCCTTTGGGGAAGAGGATGATACATTTTGGTCATATAGTGAATACGTGCATTAGGTTAGGCTGGAACTTTTTGTCCCTCTCCCCACCCCCCAAAAAAGGAAGGGTAAGCATGGGAAGAAAGGTATATACGGATGTTAAACAGCCAAATGGGTGGATTGTAATGGACATGTGCTCTTTTCTTGGCTGCTGAGTATGAGTATGCAAATTCCACCTGTTTTGGGGAAATCCCCTTTGTTTTATTGAAAGGCAGGACCCTGCCTCTTATTACAGAAAACAAGGGACTCCATTCTCTTTTCCTTCCCCTTGGCAGTAAGGGTATGGGCATATGTCCTGAACTTCATCAATCCTGCCTGGGACTCTAAAACTCTAGCCAGTAATAAATACAAATCCCAGGGATAGTTAGCAATTATTCACAGCTGTGGAGTTTAGACTCTGTGTTGGTGACATGTAGCAGAAACTAAATTGTTCCTGTGGAATAAATAACCTTGATGGTGTTCCCTATCCTAGTTTCTCTTGCTTTTGCTCATTTTCTACATTTAATTCTTCCAACTTCCTGCCAGTTATGTGAGAAACTAATTATCTTTCCAATAAATTTCTTTTTTAACCAATATTCCAACAAATTTCTGCTTAAGAAAAGCAGAATTAAGTTCTACTTACTCCTAAGAATCTTGATCTACAAAGAGATATTCCAGTTTTAAACAAAATAAATTTTTAATGTGGTGATCACAAATAAAAGCTCATTTATATTTTAAATTGAAAATGTTTTCAATTTTAAATAGGACAAAATATTATATTATTCCCTTACTATGTATGATCTGTTATTCTCATTCACATTTAATAAGAATTTTCGTAGAGGAAAAAAGCCTTTTTGGTGCTCAAGAACAAATACATTAAGTAAAGCCTAAATAAATATCAGGAAACCATCTAAGCCACATTAACTCAACAACACTTTTTACTGAAATTTTTAAAGTTAGTTTATAAAGTCTTTGGATATAAATATGCTACTTTAACTCATTTTGTAAAGATGCTTACTATAAGCCTATGTTATACTTTAAAAGACAGAGTGAATCCAAAGTAAAGCAAAAGGCTGATACACTAAGCATTTACTTGACTTTACACACCAGAAAAGCAGATCATAGTCTTCATGGAATAACATTATATAGCATGTGATATACACACACACACATACACACACACACACACACACACACACACACATACTATTTTGCTATATAACAAATTAAACTGCTAAATGTTATCTCAGATAAAACAAGATAAAAATGAATTTAATTAATATGACTTTTCTACACTTAAAAATTTAGATTTTTTTTTTTGGAAGTAGTGAAGTCTATAAAATGGTATAATTTTTATAAGAAACCACATTTTCAGAGTATTTTAGATGGTAGCTTGCTTTGTACTAAGTTTCCCTATAACTTCATTACTTTAAATTCACACAGTGGCTTTAAAGTTTCCAGTGTGCTTTTTGAAAGATAGTATTTCATTTAAATAACATTTCATTTCTCACAGAAACCTTGTAAGAACAATCGGAGGCTCAGAGAAATATTTCCTAAGTCTGTATTTCCAAAATGAAGCACCAGAGCCAAGAAACAATCATAAATCTCTTAAACATTTCATGGACTCACACACCTCTTCTAACACCTTGGGAACACCTTTAATACAGAGTGGTTGTTATATTAATGTTCATGACTTTTTCCTCTTAAAAGCATTTTCTCAACACCTATTCCTTCTGTAAATTCAAAGGTCTTTTCAACATCAGATCAGGTACAGGTGACAAGAAGTGACCATTATGAACAAATAAAACATTTTATTAAAACCACAAAACAGCCCTAACCGGTTTGGCTCAGTGGATATAGCGTCAGCCTGTGGACTGAAAGATCCCAGGTTTGATTCCGGTCAAGGGCATGTACCTTGGTTGCGGGCACATCCCCAGTAGGAGGTGTGCAGGAGGCAGCTGATCGAAGTTTCTCTCTCATCGATGTTTCTAACTCTCTATCCCTTTCCCTTCCTCTCTGTAAAAAATCAATAAAATATATTTAAAAATTAAAAAAAAATAAAACCACAAAACATTTTATTAAAGCCTTAAAAATAATTCTCACAAGCCTGGAAAGACAGTAAAGAATAGTCAGAAAATTCAATACAAAAAGCGGTATGTTTTTAAGTTAGGAAGCTTTAAGTTAGTAGAGAGGTAAGAGAGCTGTGTGTGCAAGTGCATCTCTGTTTGATGAGGGATTGCCAGTATATTCATTGCTTCTAGCCATTATTTTTTTTTCTATTAATATCAACTGAAATATCTAATTTCTGTTTATAATTAGCTGAGAGACTCATAAATGACTCTTACTCTAAGTGGTACTAAAAGCTAATAGCTCACTGAAGCGTGCTACGTAAGTAGAGAATAAAAGGCATATCAGCCCTAGCTGGTTTGGCTCAGTGCATACAGCACTGGCCTGCGGACTGAAGGGTCTCAGGTTCAATTCCGGTCAAGGGCACATGCCCAGGTTGCGGGTTCCATCCTCAGTGTGGAGCCTGCAGAAGGCAGCCGATCAATGATTTTCTCTCATCATTGATGTTTCTCTCTCTCTAACTCTCCCTTCCTCTCTGAAATCAATAAAAATATATTTTTTAAAAAGCACATAATCAAAAGTTTTTAAATAAAGTCCTTTTGAAAAATGATGTTTTGGGAAAGTCTCATTAAAAACAACTACACCTGAATTTATTATTATTTTTTAAGAAAATGTCAAGGAATACCCAAGTAAATACATCATGTGAACAAGTTGCTTGAGACATTCATTCATATGACTGCTATTTTCATAGTTTGCATTTGATGCAAAAAACACTCAACTTTTTATAAATTAATGAATTACATTTTTAATACACACCTGTCAACAGAACACACTGCTTTACATGTGTAACAAGGTTGTCTGCTGGAGTTCTCAAGATCATAAAGTACAATCACACCATCTGAACCACCTGATAACATGCTAATAATAAAAAAGTTAACATTTATCATTTTGTGTAGTTCAATTATTTGTTTGCATATTTCTGAAAATTACTGATCTTTAAAAATCCACATATATTATGCCCACAAGTATCAAGTAAAACTTAATCTAGTCTTCAATAAACTAAATTTTCTTAATCTAATATTTGCAGAATGAATATGAAAAGATTCGCTGTGATCATTTAAAATTTACCTTCATGATACCACAAAGACGGGACAGTAGAAACATGATAGCAAAAGATATTTCTTACTAGAAAGTAAAATATTATAAAGTAATTTTAAATGTCCTAATTATAATTGTGCTAAATAGAAATGGAATCAGATAGACTAGCTAATTATTACTGATGCCAGCTAGCTATCTGATCCTGGGCAAATTACTTTACCTGTTTCAGTCTTCAAACATTTTAGAAAAGGGGGACAGTTTCACCTAAATCATAAAGTTGATGTAAATATAAAAGTAATATGCAAAGTGCCTTTTATATTGCCTGGCAAAAAAATGGTTATCAATAAATGTTAGATTCTATCCATTATGAACATTTTTACTCAATTCATTCAACTTTGAGACCTGTAATATGCTAGGCACTCTGCTAATACAACTGTGAACAAGATAGGCATGATTCCTGGATTCCCAGAGTTTAAAATCAAGTAGGGAAGAGATACGGATCTATGAATTTATATATCTATATAAAGTATTGCTATTTGCTAATATTATTGCTCACCATCAATCCTCATGTTGCTGACTATTCATTCTGGTTCTCTGATTTTATTCTCTGGTAGATTTCCAAGAACCATATTCCCTGAATTCTTGTACGTTAGTGACAATTTGTCTGCCCTTGAAAATCTGACTGGATATAAAATCTTTGATTCACATTTTATTTCCTTGAACACCTTAGATAAGAAACTTCATTTCTTTGGATAAAGCCCAAAATATGTAAGTATTTGCTAACATAATTTTCTTTCTCTTACTTGTAATTTCAGATCTTATTTCTTCTAGGAAAGTCTTCTTGGATTATAGTTTTAATATTTATTCTGTTCTTTTCCTTTGGGTCTCTTCTCCGGAAACTCCTATTGCATATGTAGTTGAACTCCTTTGCCTGTCCTCTATATATGTCTCTATCTCTCAAATCCTTTTCCTTTCTCCATTTCTTTCTTTTTTAAATTTATCTTTATTGTTGAAAATATTACAGATGTCCTCCTTTTTTCCCATTAACCCCCTCCATCCCACACCTTGCCACCCTAAGCCTCCATTTCTTTTTTATTTAATACTAGAGGCCCGGTGCACGACATTCGTGCACTAGAGGAGGGGAGGGGTCCTTAGCACTGCCGCAGAGGCAGGAAAGGCTCCTGCCACCTCCGCTGCGTTCGCCGCCATGAGCCTGGATTCTGGCTGAGCGGCACTCCCCCTGTGGGAGCGCACTGACCACCAGGGGGCAGCTCCTGCATTAAGTGTCTGCCCCCTGGTGGTTAGTGCGCATCATAGCGACCAGTCGTTCCGTCATTCAGTCGATTTGCATATTCGGGTTTTATTATATAGGATTTCTCCTTCTTTCCAACTTCACCTAAGGCATTATATCTTGTATTTATTTGCTTGTGTTCCCTATGCTTTACTCTTCAATTCTGAAACATTTTTCTTTTATTCCTAATTTTTTCTTGAATCTGATCATCTCATTTCTGAGTTTTTCTAATTACAATTTATGTTATTCTTTCATATACTGTATCTTTTAAAAATGACTTTTAGTTTTGAAATATTAGGTTAAAGTTCTCATTACTTTATTAGCATATCTTTCTGGCACAACTGTGTGGTCTATTGGTACATAACATTTACTTACTCTCTTTGTTCTTATAATAATTTTGTATGTAATTTGACTTTAATCTGTTCTTTTCTCATTTTTACATAATATTTTCTCAAACTTTTAGAAGGGAGACTTGGTTTAGAATATTTCTATTTTCTACTTCTAGAGCATTTTCTTCTTTTTTTGTAAGATGCTCAAAATATGACAGCTTACTTTCAGAGATTTCCTGGTCTGTTACCTCTCCCACATTTATCTTGGCCATCTTTTTCCTTTGTTCTAGTATCCCTATATTACTTAATTTGGATTCTATTCCAGTAGTTTTCCTCAGTATAGGGTTCTGTCCTACAGGGGATCTGTAGTTGATTAGCTAAAGAGATATAAGGCCGAGACGCTCCAGCTCCACAGGTCTTACTGTGAACCCCTTGAACAATCAGAATATGCCATCCTCTCCCACTTTCAGCTGCTGTAGTTAAACTGGCTTGCTGAGTTTTCAACTGACTGCTGGTTATGTTAGAGCTATCAGGTCTATCTGATGCCCCAATGCTTTTAATTGCCTTCCCTGGTATACATGCTGATACCACACAGATCTTGCAGTTACATGTATCAGTTTACTCCCACTCATTCACACCTTGGTTTGTGAGGATACTTCTTTGCTATTTAAAGTACTTGTCCATAAACAGCTTGTGCCAGAAATGAACACACTTTCTTCACTGAGAAAGTCTTGCTACAAAAAAAATCTCAGCTCATCTAATCTGTGTGCTTAGTGACATAGTAGATTTACATTCTGGTACAAGCTCCTTATCTTGTGATGAACCAGTTACAAAGGGTTCATGAAATAGCAGCATGTTTTAAGTAGCACCAATTTACAGACTTGTTTTAAGAAAAATTCAATACCAATTTGTAGAACAATTAGGTTAATTTAAAAGCAGTTCTTCAAAATTCTTTGATCAAAGAGTTCTAAAGTCCAACTGATGGAGGGCAATGGTTTTTTTTTTTATTCGTTAGCTTCATTACATTTATAGTTTTTACTCTATGTCTATACAGAAATATTTATAAAGTTTAACATCTACAACTTTTAGTTTGGTTGATAAAGTGTTGCAGCTTATTTGGATACAGATATGAGTTACATGTGTTTCACAACCAATTTCAAAAACCTTTATGCTTTATATTTGAGCTTTGTGAAATGCATTTTTTTTAATCACAGTAATACATGTATTATAACAACAAAAACAAATGTTTTTAAAGTTGAATTCTTAAACTGAATTTAAATGGTATTTACAATAATGCCAAATGTTTCATCTTTGCTAGAATGACTTCCAAAAGCTTGATTCCAGTAATTGGATGAAAAACTGAACCATTATCGGAATTGACTGTACTTGAACTACATGATGGTACAGACATTATTTAACAGTAAGATTATTATTATGTAATAGAGTAAACCCAGTTAAGAGATACAGCTTTATGTTTTTATATGGAAAAGGTAACCTGGTATTAAAGAGGAATAAAAGTAATTCTAAGAATTGAGAAGGTATAAAAGAAAAGTCTAGATTTACAGAATGATATGCAAATGTACTCTATGCAGTTGCACCTATTAAAATGTTATTTTTAGGCTCATGTATTAAAATAACTCCTAACTTTGGAAATAAATACTTCTTTACCAGATTTGTGTATCCTGGTTTTCATTCCAGTTTTCAGTGAATTCACTACAGCTCTCATGGTGGTTGGTAAATATTAACGAGTATTTAGGGCAAGTTTCATGTACATTGATTTTCTTAAGAAAAAGGATATCAGCATTTAATTTTCCATTAATATACAATTTGCTTTTTATTTCTCTCTTTGCTACCAAAAGGGTTTGATGTAAAATACAAGTCTTAGCAAACAATGAAATAGTTGTAGATTTTTACCACACAATGAAGGGGGAAACCATTGCAGTGAGAATCCTGACTTTTCTTTATATGCTCTGCAAAAAGACTCCTCAGTTTATATTTCTCATACATATTTCATGCACATATAATCTAGAATTTCCCACATTTCTCAATGAATCTGTCAACTGATAGCCTACTGGCTTCATGTATTTCACAGATGAAACAACTGATCATTATCCCACATGGCTGGCTGGAGAATCTGAAATAAATATTCTTCCACCAGAATCCAGGACCAAAAGAAATTAGCTGTTCATATTTGCATTATTTTATAAGCAAATGCCCCACAGCTGCCCTTGAATGGAAGGTGTTATGTTAAGCCTTGAAAAGGTCAGGAAAAAGAAAAGTTATCACTGGTCATCTTTTAGATTTAACCATGTGTTAAAGTGAGGATTTGTTTACTCTTCATGTTTCTCATATACTACCATGTGAGGCCAGGACAGAAGCTGGAAATGAAAAATAAAATTCTATCAAACCTTCCTTGGCTTATTTTAATGTTAATAATAGTGGTAGTAATAATACTTCATTACATATATGCTACACATAAGACATGATAAACTTTTCTTTAGTTACTTCTACACTTGTTATAATTAACTAGAGGTCTAGTGCACAAGTTCGTGCACCAGTAGGGTCTCTCAGCCTGGCCTGCGGGATCGGGCCGAAAATGGCTCTCTGACATCCCCCGAGGGGTCCCAGATGGCGAGGGGGCTCAGGCCAGGCCGAGGGATCCCACTGGTGCATGATTAGGGCCAGAGAGGGACGCGAGAAGTTGGTCAGCCGGGGAAGGACCGTAGGAGGGCTTCAGGTTGTGTCTGGCCCATCCCAATCGGCTGGACCCCAGCAACAAGCTAACCTACCAGTCAGAGCATCTGCCCCCTGGTGGTCAGTGCACATCATAATGACTAGTCGACCAGTCAACTGTCTGCCCCCTGGTGGTCAGTGCACGTCATAGCGAGTGGTTGAGCAGCCTTAGCATATCATTAACATATTATGCTTTCATTGGTTGAACGGACGACTGGACACTTAGCATATTAGGCTTTTATTATATAGGATAGACTACATGAAGGGTTTTGAACTTTCCTGTAGTCATGTGGGGGTCAAGATGAATTTTAAGTGGGGTAATAACATGTTCTGATTTGCATTTTTCCAAGCACTTCAGCTGTTGTGTGGGAAATGGACCAAACGGTATAAAAGTATAGGTGATAATGCTTTGGATTAGTAGGAGTAATGCAACCAGTAATGATATGCCAGGTCCCATGCTAATCACCCTATATAATAAAAGCCTAATGTGCTAAGTGTCCAGTCAGCCATTCAACCAATCTACACTAATAAAAGAGAAACATGGTAATTGGTGTACGACCGCTACCCTTCCCATTGGCTAATCAGCATATCCTTATGCAAATTAACTGTCAGCCAAGATGGCGGCCGGCAGCCAGGCAGGTGGAAGCGAACATGAGGTTTGCTTGCTTCAGTGACTGCAGACTCCAA